TATGGTTTATTGTATTTTTATCTGTTTTGTTAAATATTTCCCAACTCCATTTTAATCTGGTTTGGGGGCACTTTGGCATATTGTGTACTGCATGAGCCACAGGCTGTGTGTTTGATACCTCAGGATTATAGTATGCTAAGTGATGGAAGCTCCCTTACATCATTCGTTGAAGACATTCTATACAAGCACGTTGGGAGACCATGTTTTACAATTAGGTCTTTCTCATAGTAATCCCCTCAAAAGGAATCTATTATATCTAATTCTGTGTTTAAGGAAGACTACAACTTACATTCATGTTATAATTCTTCACATTATAATAATAATAATTATACCCAGGAATAGCTAGGTGAGTGGCACAGTGGATAGAGAGCCAGGCCTGGAGTCATCTTCCTGAGTTCAAATCTGGTCTCAAACACTTACTAGTTGAGTGCACCTGGGCAAGTCACTTAACCCTGTTTGCCTCAGTTTCCTCATCTGTAAAATGAGCTGGAGAAGGAAATGGCAAACCACTCCAGTATCTTTGCCAAGAAAATCCCAAGTGGGGTCATGAAGAGTTGGATACAACTGAAAAAATGACTGAACAACAACTGTTGGTGAATTTGATAAACTGGTGACATTATGGCCTCATATATGACTCACCGTCTCCTAGGTCTGTTCCTTTTGCACTGACTTTCCCCCATGCCTGGAATACACTCCCTCCTCAGCTCTGCTTCCTGGAATTCCTCTCCCTTCAAGACACAGCTCAAGCACCACTTTCAACAGCAAATTTTTCTGGATCCTCAAAATCCATTATATTGAACTGTTTTGTATTTATTTCTGTTTCTACTTACTGTGTGTGTGTATACATAGATACACACACACACACACACACACACACACATCCTTGTTATTTCCCCTTGTTAGAATGTAAATTCCTTGAGAAGAGGGATTATTTCATTTTTATACTTACATCTGTAGTACCTAGCACAGTGCCTGACACACATTGCTGGTGCTTAATAAATGTTGATTAGGAGTAAGAAGACTGACCCGAAGTCGACAATTCTGCCTTCACTTTTTGGCTCTGGAGACATCCTGGGACACTTCTCCTGTGCCGAGGGAAGAGTTGGGACGAGGAGACATAGAGGTGGGCCAAGCAGCCTCAAGAGGCCCCTAGCCTGCTGAGGCTACTCTTGTCAGGGGTGGCCCTTCTGCCTGGGGCTGGCGTAGCCAGCATAACGTGAAGACAGACTCATAGAAGGAGGGCTGCTGGTGTATTGTTTGAGGGAGAGTAGCCAGGATTTCTGTAGGTTGCAGAGTGTGTAATCATAAATGAAGCAGAATCCTGGGGATTCTAGCAACGGCGGGCTAGATAGCAAGATATTTAACTATGAATAGCCATGGGCATACTTCTAACCTTAGGAAGCCAAGCATAGAGCGACAATTTGTGAATATTGCCTGTTCTAGATTTTTCTTAGCACAAACTTTAGAATAAATGGAGACAAGCACCAGGTGAGGAAAAATAACAGAGAAAATATAGATGAGGAAAAGTGAAAGAGGAAGACTGCTATTATTTCCCCGGCCACTCTGATTAGGTCAAGATGTAAACGTCCCTGTCTACTGAATTATGGCCACTGTGAATTGCTACTTTTTTGTCAGTTGCTATCACATGGTCTCAGTGTCCTTAGTCACCTTACTCCGATCAAGACCCATAACCCCAGGCAGTGTCTTCCCCATTTAGAATGAGAAAGAACTCAAAAATTGTCTGATTCAGATATGCTGCAGGCAAACTTTGCACATGCCCTGGAAATGTTCTCTCTCCTCAACTTTTGGATTTTCTTGGTCCCCTCAAGCCTCATCTAAGGAGTAATTTCCTACCTAATACCTTTCCTGATCTCCTCAGCTGTTAGAGCTACTACCCCAAAAAATTAACTTTGCATTTATCAATCAGTCAATCAACAATCATTTTAAAAAGCACCTCCTATGCACCTACTGGAGATACAAATGTAGAAGTAAAATGGTCCCCCACCTTCCAGAAATTTGCCATCTTACCAAGGGAAAACAACTTGTATGTCTCTGAGTTTTTACAAAATAGATACAAGATTATTTGGGGGTGGGGGGTGTTAAGGTACTAGCAGCTGAGGGATCATGAAATACTTCATGTGGAAGTACTTAAACTGAACCTAAGGAATATAAAAATGTTGTTGTTTAGTCACATATGACTCTTTGTGACCCCATTTGGGGTTTTCTTGTGAAGATATGTTTGTGTATGTATATTGCATATATATGTCAAAGAGCACCTGCCCTCTGACAATCCTCATGCTTTGTCTGGTTACCATGATATAATACAAGATTCTATAGAACTCACTGGCTGCGGCTATTCTCGACTACTGTCAGAAGCCTCCTGAAATGAGACCTTATTTTGAGGGAATTCCCAGGATCCAATCTCCTGAGACTTCATCAAGTGCATTTATATACATGTACATACATATATGTATATACACATGTATACATATATATATATACAGAGAGCGAGAGAGAATATGAACAAATATCAATATATATCAAATGTGTGAACATGTGCACATATTTGTGCATATATTTGTGTGTGTATGTATGTGTATATATATATATATATATATATATATATATATACATATATGTATTATATCAAGGCTATCTTGATTTGGCTTACAGGGATGCAAGAAGAGGTATCTCTAGTATCTTGTCATCCCACCCTTTTCCAAGAAAGACTTTAATTCCTTCCAGGAGGGGAAGCAAGAGTTTGAGAGTCAGAGGCTGATCCTCTAATTTCCTCTGAGAGAGGGGGTACTGGGCTAGTTGAGAACTGGCAAACTGGCCCAGCATCCTGGCTTCCTACTTCTTCAAACTCTGTGCTCCAAAGACTTTTAACTTCCATTGATTTCAGTTAACCCATTAGCACCACCATGTCATAGATACCATCATTCAAAAACACCTCCAAGACATCAAGCTGTAAAATTCCCCTCTCTGCCCATAAATAATTTATTTCTTATAATCTGTCACTTTTGTATCTTACTCTTTCCCTCTACTTATAAGTACAAGGAGGTTTTTCTTATCCTGTGCAAAAGACTTCTTGACTTAGAAATACCTGAGACTCACCATTTCCTCTCTCTTCTCCCTTACCCTGTCATACGTCTAGGAAGAAGAGTATACGCTTGCTGCCTCCACTTCTCTGCTTCTCACTTATTCCTCAATCCTTTGTAATCTGATTTCCGTCTTTACAATTCTTCTGAAACTCTTCTCTCAAAGGTAGATGAATCTCTCAGATTCTTTGAGGCTCTAAAATTCTATATTGCTGCTTTATGAAAACTGCTAACCACTCAACCCAATGGCATTTTCCCAGCGTTCATCCTTGCTGATGTTTCAGCACCATTTGATGGTATTGACCACACCTTCCTTGACTTTCTTTCCTGCTCTGGTTTCTCTAATACAGTTTTCATTTGATTTTCCTTTCACCTCTCTGACCACTTGCCTGGCCGTCATCTCTTCTGTATTTTCTTCCATCTCCCATACCTCCTACACCTTTTTACTGGTTTATCCCCCAGCCTGGAATATATTCTATCCCCACCTCTGCTTCCCAGAACCCCTGCTATTCTTTAAGACTCAGCTCAAATGTCTCCTTGTGCATGAAGTCTTTCCTGTCCTGATCCCCTCCAGTGGCTAGTACATTCCCTCCCCAAACTATTTTTCATTCATTTTGTATGTATTATTTGTGTGTTTAATACACACACACACACACACAAATATATACACATAGGTACAAATCTATAGCTGTACATATTTAAATGTAGAAATATAGATATACATGCATATGAATCTATATAAACATTTATATATCTATACTAAAATAAATCTAGATAATGTATATAAATATGTATGTAAATGAATATATACATACGTATGAACATATACATGTATTGGTGTGCACATTTGCATATATACATATATAATAAGGCTATCTCAATTTGGCTCACAGGGAAGCAAGAATAGGCACCTCTAGCACCTCTTCTTCCCACCTTTTTCTTTTCTTTTCTTTTCTTTTTTAAGGCAATTGGGGTTAAGTGACTTGCCCAGCTAGTAAGTGTCAAGTGTTTGGTCTGAGGCCAGATTTGAACTCAGGTCCTCCTGACTTCAGGGCTGGTGCTCTATCCACTGTGCCACCTAGCTGCCCCCCCCTTTTTTTTCTTGAGGCAATTGGGGTTAAGTGACTTGCCCATGATCACACAGCTAGTAAGTGTCAAGTGTTTGGTCTAAGGCTGCACTTCCCACCTTTTTCCAAGGGAGACTTTAATTGCTGCCAGGAGGGAAAGAAAGAGGATGGAAGCCAGAGGCTGACCCTCTCTTTTCCTCTGAGAAAGGGGGAGCTGTGATAGATTTATATCTACCTGCTCTCTTATATATAATTAGTCTAAAGGATATAAGTTTAAGGTTCAAGGTGATAGCTTGATAGCTATTTCTTAATGGGGATAGGGGGCTGCAAACTTTTTGTTCAAAGCTTGATTTCCTTCTCACGAAATATCAGTTCCTCAATGAGGTTGCATAAGAAATAGCAAAGAAACACATTTGTTCAAGTCAATAGCAAAATAGAAATCAGAGAAATTATACATATGAGAATATATACCAGACAATACGGATTGAAGGAGCTCTCCCATTGGGAGTGTGATAACTCAGATCAACTATGAGAGACAGTCCCAGATCTCACCCAAAGGGGAAAATTTCCTGAAGTCACTAGTGCAACAAGGTGTGAATAGGGGTATGATCCAAGTTTACTTCTTCTAAGAGTTTTCCCTCTCCCAGCTTCAACAATCCCCTTTATCCAGAGAACAACCAAATAAAGTTTTTAGTTTGACCCACAAGGGCTTCTTCAATTTGATCCCAATAGACCTTCCTGCCTTATTTTACATTAGTTTACATTTATTACTTTTACCTAGCAGTCAAACCCAACTACTCACTTTTTCCTATACATGTTTTCTTTCCTTTAGACACAAGATGCTTCTTATATCTGAAATGCCTGCTTCCCACATCTCTGCCACCCGAAATCTTATGTATTCTTCAAATTCTACTTCAAATGCCACCTCTTCCTTTTAGTTTTCCCTGATCTTCCCAGACAGAAGAGATACCTCCCTCCTCTGGAATGGTATAGCATTTTTGTTCATATCTTGTTCATATCTTTATGTACTTCCATGCTTTCCTTTGTATTTTTTTTTGGGTCCATTAGGTGTATCTGACTCTTTGTGACCTTATTGGGGGTTTTCTTGGCAAAGATACTGGAGTGGTTTGCTGTTTTCATGTCCAGCTCATTTTACCAATTGAGGAAACTCAGGCAAACAGCCTTATGTAACATGCTGAGGGTCACATAGCTAGTAAGTGTCTGAGGCTGGATTTGAACACAAGTCTTCCTAACTCCAGGCCCAGCACTGTATTTATTGTGCTACTTAGTTCTTTTTTTCCTTTGCATTACATGTATCCATCTACATAGGATTATAGAATCATATAGATTTGAAGTGACCTTAGAGTCATCAAGTGCAGCTCCCTCATATTATACAGATGAGGGCCCTGTGGCCAACTGAGGTTAAGTGACTTTCCTAGGGTAACATAGGTAGTAAAAATGCTCGAGGCAAAATTTGAATGTGGGTCTTCCTGATTCCAAGTCCTTGTACCTTTGTAATCTGTATCCGCGGGAAGTCCCTCACCAACAAAATCACAGTGTGGGTGTTTTGATGTATTGGCATATCTTACTTCCCCTAATGTGCTGTGGATAAAGAGCAAGCTTTTGGACACATATTAACTAGGTGACCATGGGCAAGTCTCTTACTAAACTCTTTGTGCCTGAAGCAACTTTCTTAAGACTATAAATGATAGCGGAATAATTTAGCCACATTTGTGGTGCTAAGTTCTGCACTTGGCGTTCCTTACCCTGATCAAATTACACTTTAAGACTTTAAGTTCCTCAAAGACAGTGACTGTCTTTCATCTTTGTTATCTTCCTTGGTGTCTTGCACATTTTAGTTTTGTATAGAAATGAAAGGTCAGGAGTTAAGACTTCTTACTCTGTTTACAATAACTTTGCTCTAGTCATACAAACTACTTTGTCATCATTTATGCAACACCTACTATGAGCTTACCACACCCACACAGAACATGCCAAAGATACAGGGCTGGGCATTCACATTCTAAGAAGGAAAATCCAACAAACACTCATTATTCTTTCCTTTTTGAGGAAGTGGCTGGGAGGAGCTGTTAAAAATATGTTGGTGAAATTGAGGGAGGAAGAAAATCTTCCACTTTATGAAGTCAAATCAATCTACTTCTTGACTTCTGCACTTAATTTGATAACCTGCTGATCATCTTTTCCTTCCTATTTCTTGGGATGTCAGAAATTATGCAGCTAGGTGGTACACTGGATAGGGTACTTGGGCAAGTCAAATCTCTGTTTGCCTCAGTTTCCCAAACTGCAAAATGGGGAAAATAATCATGCATCCCTCCCAGGACTGTTGTGAGGATGAAATGAGATAATATTTGTAAAGTCCTTAGCACAGTGCCTGGTAAAATCTTCCTAATTCTTAAAAAACAAACAAATCTGAGACTCATTTTATTATGGCCCTGCCTCTCTATTGTCTTTGTTGCTTCCTATTTAGTTCCAAAACTTTAGTATGCCCCCTTTTTTACTTTCTGCCTCCATAGCCTCAGTACCCACTTCCTCCTCTATTCTATGCAATGAACCTTTCCTTTTTGACACTGGAATGAAATAGCATGTTCCTAGGTCACAAATGACCTCTCATCAATAATTCCATGGCTTCTTTTCTAACCTCAACCTTCTTGACCTTTCAGCATTGACATTGTGGACCACCCCTACTTTCTCAATACCCTTTTCGCTGTTGGCATCTAGGACAATTCATTCTCATGGTTCTGTCTGATTATAATTTAAAGGGGAAATGGATCTTAGAGTCCATCTAGTTCAATCACCCCACACCCATTTTATTGATGAGGAAACTGAGGCTCAGAAAGGTTAATTGGCTTGACCCAAGAGATAGTGAGGGGCAGAGCTGGGATTTGAATCCAGGCGCTCTGATCCCAACCAGCTCCTCTTTCTATTTCACTGTACACTGAAATCTTTAACTGATTCTTCTTTTGTCTCCACGGCAGTCTCCTTATTCTCCTTCCATAAACAGTTCTCCCCCAAGATTTTGTCCTTGGTTCTCTTCTCTACTTCATTTAAACTCCTTCACTTGATAATCAGTTCAAGCTCTACCTTCTTTCTACATGAAGCCTCTCCTGATCCTCCCTGGCTGCTACTATATTCCTCCAAATATGGTTTCTAACTGGCCTATATGCCTGCTTTGTACATGTCTGTACATACCTTTGGCCAGATGCAGAGAATACAGAGAAGAGGAGGCAAAGAGAACTCAATAAGGGGTTTAGAACAGTTCTCAAAGCGTGTCCCGTGGACTTCTGGGGTTCCTGATAATCTTTCAGGGGTTTGTGATATCAAAATTATTTTCATGATAATAGTAAGATGTTATTTGCCTATTAAAAGACTCCTCCCTTTTCCAAATACATACTTTTGTGGGGCTGGCATCACAACAGATCTAGTGCAAAAGCAGATATGAGAATCTGTCTTTTACTAACACAGGCATTAAAAAGGTTTGCCAAAATATATATAACATCAACCCTCTCCTTCCTGAATTATTTTTGTTTTGGAAAATAGGGTTATTTTTCCATAAAATATGCTATGTTAACGTACAATGGATTATTATTATTTTAAAACAAATATTTTAAATTTTCATCAGTTTTAATTTCTGATATAATAACTTGATAGAAATGGCCCACATAAACAAAAGCTCTTCAGGGTCCTCAATAACTTTCATGAGACCTGAAACCAAAAAATTTGAGAACCAACCCCTGGTTTTCAATAAGATTAGCTCTCTATAGAGATCAAGTGGAAGGCAAAGATTTTGTACATGGGAAGAAAACAGCTCAAAAATTCATGAGAAAGTGGATTTGCGAAAGGAACAATGATGAGTTAAAACAAATTCTGGTTTCTTCTTTCAGAAGTTGATGATACAAGTAATTTGCTCACTTGATGTATCAAAAATCATTCAATCAACAACCATCTACTATATGCCAGGCACTGTGGTAGAAGCTGGAGATATAAAGACAAAAACAAAAGAAATACTGCCTTCGAGGGGCTGCTATCTAGTGTCTAAGAAAAAAATTAATACTGTACTCTATATTTTAGACAGAAGTCTGCCAGAAACAATTTTATTTCATTTATCTTTATTCTATCTCCAAGAACATCTAAAATATACAAACTGGCATAGTCCTCCCATGACCTTGGACATCTCTCTACTCCAAGATGATTTGAAGTAACCTTTATAGGAATACTGAACAAGGAAAAAACAAAAATATATAAAAATGCAGTTTGGGGTTAATATTACAGAATATTCACTACTCATTTACTCCCAGGAATAATGTTCTCCAGGATAGAAAAGGGCTTCTTTCCACGATCAATAGCTTATCTTGAATGCCCTCAGGTGGCCCAATTACTTTCAGAGAGGTGAGGAGGCAATAATCTTAATTAGATAAGAGTTAAGTTCCATTGCCAATAAGAAAAGTCCTTAGCTGCTGTTTTATCCACTTTCTTAAAGGGAAGAGTCTAGAAAGGGGCTGAAGAAAGTATTATTTCCTAATATTTTCTGTTGACCTGAAAGGGATGTTTTTAATATGCTTTCACATGGAGAAAGAAACCCAGGTCTAACACCAAGTGCAGTGTTTTTTCCACAATCCTATATTGCTTCTCTCCAAGATGACTCTTCATACAGCTGTAGAGAACAATCATGACTCCCCCCACCCCCAAATCTTCTTTCCTTTGTACTGTAGGAAACATTCCCAGTTCTTTTAATCCAGTGCAGTGTTGGAGTCTACTCTAAGGAGCTTGCTAGAGCGATTGTTTACATTTTCAGGGTGAGCATTTTGTTATTTTGTTGTTGAGTCATTTCAGGTAGTGTCTGACTATACCTGTCCCTATTTTGGGGAGTTTTCTCGGCAAAAGACACCGGGGTCATTTGCGCATTTATACCTCAGAAATCGGCCATTGCTAGGATTTGATTTATTGTTTTATTGTTTGTCTAGACTTAAGAAAGTGATAATAATGCAGACTAAAAGAGTATACATGCATTTCCCCTCCAGAGAGTCTGTTAAACATTTACCAGTATACTCCTCCATATTGCCCTGTATTGAATTCAGCAGAAGTGTAGTAGAAGGCTCAGGGAACAAAGTTATCACCAGATTAGGGGCCTGGTGGCTGCAGGCTAATAAATAATCATCATGATCATGATCATCATTGTCATATATATAGCAATTGAAGGTTTGCAAAGTACTTTATATCCAGCATCTCATTTGAGCCTCATATCACATACCCTGCTTTAGTCCACCTATGTGGGTTTGTTCCAAGTCCTTTCATTATCCTAGCTGCCCTTTTCTAGACTTGCTCAAAATGGTCAGTGTGCCCCTTAAAATGTAACTTCCTCAGAAATGGTCACGTTATTCTTTAGCTATAGTCTGACCAGGGCACAGTACAGCAGGACCTTACTGTGGACACTATTTTTTTCCCCAGGAATAAGCATAATGTATTCATCAAAAGGCAAAGACAGGAATAATCATAACATTTACTCAAATCAGGAATAATTAAAGGTCCTTGGTCCACCCATAACCTGAGGTTACATTTATCTACCAATGCACACAGTGTCTATGGAGAGAGTGGGCACACCCTTTTAAGAACCTAGCAGAGAAGCACATCAGTGCTTGTTTCCTGGGCAACTCACAACTCTGGACTTCAAGACTTGATGCCCTTATGTTGAGGTTTGGAGGTTTAGGGGTGCTGGACCCTGAAATAATGACATGTGGGTCCTGCCCAAATGAATTCGACCCAAGCCTTCTTTCAGCCAAAGACAAGGTTTATTAGAGATTTGCCATACTGGCTAGACTCTTATGGAATCTGAACATTTATGACTCTCTTATTGACAAGCAGG